AAAACCTATTTGAGATTGATTTTAGTTAACTACTTGGCTAAGTTTAGTTAACTAATTAGTTAACTAAACTTAGTAAATTAGTTATCTAACTATTATTACTAAATTTAGTTGACTAATTAGTCGATTAAACTTAGTAAAATATTTAGTTGACTAGAAATCCTAATGAACTAAAATGTTTATAAACTTTTAAACTAAACTGAATACAATAAAAAAAAAATCAAATTCAAATCTGAACTCAAACATATTTTCAATCTTGTTTAGGTTTGAGTTTAGTTCGATTTTTAGACTGAACTCAAATTTAATAGAAGTTCAGTTTAGTTTGGTAGGAGCACTGGTAGTTTTGCTTTAGTAGACTACTTATAAACTAGTAGTATTAGTATAATACTAGACTTAATCTAGTTATAAGCTTTATCTCTCATGCTATATAATAGTATTTCTTATTAAATTGTTGTTTTTAAATTTTTGTTGTTGCTTTGTATTAGGTTTTAGTAATCAGTAAAAAGAGTTGACTATGTTATGATTATTATTAAGTAACTTTATAAACAAGAACTATTACTATATAATTATGTAATTTTTATCTGAAGTAATTATATATCATATAAAGAAACTTTGAGTAGTAGTTTAAATACTATATTAAATACATGCTAACTTGTGCTAAACACTATACTAAACTATACTAAATACTACACTAAATACTGTATCAAATACTATGCTAAATACTATGCTAAATAATACTAAATACTATACTAAATACTGTATTAAACTATGCTAAATATTGTGTTAGACCTTTAATAAATTATATTTATCTAATACTTGCATAAACATTAATCTAACATTTGCATAAATATTTAAGTTATACTTACCTGATACTTAATTGATATTTAACTAATGCTTATCTAACACTTGATATTTAAATAATATTTTGCTATCACTTATCTAATACTTAATAAAAAAGATATAAATACTTGTAATTTTCTTTTCTTGTTTTATAATTATTTAAAACATAACTCCAAAGTTATCTAAAACTTAACTCAAAGAATTTATCTCTTGTACCTTTTTTTTTTACATATATTTATCTTGTCTTTATATTAGTTAAAGAAACTTTCCTCTTGAACACCGCTTCTTAAAGTAAATAAAAGACATATTGCTATTGCATATAGTGTACTAAGAAGACTATACTACCTGTAACAATAACAAAAATTCATATAATAACTAGTTATATATTTATTATAGACTACGCAATTTTAATATTTTGATGCCTTCTGGCGATATTGTAATAGCAAAAATAATCTATATATATTACTATATACTAAATCTAATAAAATTTTACTAGTCTATCTTATTTATTTTAATAAAAACCAAAATAAAATTTATTTTTAATTTTTAATTTTTTTTATTAATAACTTTAAATTATTAAACTTTAGATTGTTTTACAATTATAATTTTACGTTGTTCGAAAAAATTAATTGTTAGTTATTTGAAAAAAAAAGCTTAAATTCATAAATATAACTTTATGGCCAAATTACCTATTTTAAATTGTTATAATAAAGTAGATGGCTTATAATTTTTTTGCTTTTTTAACGTATCTCATCAATGCCATTATACTCGTTGGAGTCATTCCATCAATTCTTTTTGCCGCCCCCTGTTTGGTAAAAATTTTTAATAAAATCAAATCAAATAAAATAAATAATAGTTATAATTTGTTCTATCCACCACTCTATATATAGAATATTATATTAAAATATATAAATCAGACGATAATTTCGAAAATTTATGAAAAATATGAGTGATGAATTAGAAACTTATTTCAGGCAGTTTTGAAAATAAAGTCTATACATTACCAGTGTTACAGGTCTTATTAATTTGAGTTTTATTCTTGTTTCCGTTGAAAGATTTTTAATTCTATTAACAAAAAAAATAAAATATCTGAAATTCAAAAATTCATATATAAAAAAAAATAACAAAAGGATAATAAAGCTGAAATAAAATATGAAGCAAAAAAGTATTCAACGGTTTCTCTGCTCAATCAGCACAATTAAGAATACAAAGTACTTTGCATTCTTTTTTAGTTTAGCGTTTTTTAACTTACATATCATAATTCAAATCCTCGGGTATAATTATTTCTTCATCTTTTTTGAATGATTGAACTTCAATTTCTTGCTTTTCTAGATATTCCTTATATATAGCTATAATAATAATTATATTTAAAATAAATGTTAATGCAAATTTATTGAATAATAAAAACATGAATTACCTGCAATGAATAATCTTTGTTGGATGGATGATCCAATTTTAGATAACTCAGGAATTATGTGCATAAGGTCGGAAATTGTTACATGACGAGATCCTAACATGTCATTTGCACTGTTAAGTCGATAATAACAATCAATTCAACTTTTCTTCGTTAATAAAATAATAACATATAATAATTGAATGTAGTTAACTAATACCTTCTTACATATCCGTCCAAACAAACTTTAACCCCTAATTCATTCCATTTTTGTGGAGGCAACACATAATCTTTTAATAATTTTGTTCCCCTATGAAGTTGCTCTTCTGTTTGTTGATACATGTCATATCGATATTTGGACACACATCCCGCTTGATATCCTAAGACATATGAAATGCAAAAAATTCCATAAAGTCATAAAGTACAAGATATTTGTTCAACAATGCTACATTTATTAGACATGATAAAATACCTTTATGAGTAAGTCGTATATCAGCATTATCAGCTCTAAGTGACAATCTATACTCCGATCTAGCAGTAAACACTCTATATGGTTCTTCAACACCCTTGGTTGTCAAATCGTCTATCAAAACTCCAATGTATGCATCTGCACGATCAAGCATAAATGTGGGTTTGTTTTGGACCGACAAAGCAGCATTTATTCCAGCTATAATACCCTTTATAAGAAATATTGAGTGTTAGATGTATAATTTTGATTATATATGCAAAAAGTATAAAGAAAAAAAAAAAATAGTACCTGAGCAGCAGCTTCCTCATAGCCTGTGGTTCCATTAATCTGTCCTGCCATATATAGCCCTTTTATACGATGAGTCTCTAGAGTCGGCTTTAGCTCGCGTGGATCAACATGATCATATTCTACACCATACCCTAATAAATTTTAAATTTTGTTAATACACAAGAATCAAAAACATTCATTAAAATAATGCAAACCTGGTCTTATCATAATCACATTCTCCAATCCTTGAATGGTTCTTAACATTTGGTATTGAACATCTTCAGGCAATGTTACAGATATTCCATTTGGATATACTACATTTGTATCAAGACCTTTTATGTTCATATATAAAATCAAATTGCAAAACAGACTTCAGTCATAAAATTCTATGTAACTTTAGTGCTAAATTGACAAATTTAATTGACCAATTCTTATTCTTACCTTCAGGTTCAAGCCATATGATGTGATTTTGTTTATCTTTGAATCTCATTACTTTTGATTCAATTGATGGGCAATATCTATCAAATCACAAAAGTAATCTCGAATATAAATAAAAATTAAAATTAAAATTAAATTAAATTAAATATTAAAACCATGATTAAAGCTACCTCGGTCCTTTTACAGTTTCGCGCACGTGAATACTCTTAGATAAATTGTCTCTAATTATTTTGTGTGTGTCCAAATTTGTTTTTGTTTGATAACATACGATTTGATTTTTCTTTCATAAAGAAAGAAAAAGATTCAAAATTAAAACCTCAAAGAAAAAGATTTCTCAACTATAAAATTTATAATTATTTAAAGTTAGGGATGTTAACAGTCCAATCTAGTTCAGTCTGGTCTATTTTTGTTTCAATCTGGTCTGTTATGGTCTTTGGTAGTTCTATAAAAGACTGTAGTTTCACAAACAATCTGGATTAGATTCTTTGTTAAGACCATATATATACTTATGATCTGTGTTATTTTCAAACCAAGACTAGACCAGAATGACCAGCTTATGACCAAAATGAGCCCTATTAGTTAAAACTGAACTGTTAACATAGAGATGTGATTTTAAAGGATACCTCGTGAGGAACAGAAGTATGTAAATAAGAAAATGGTGTTGCAGGAACATCCCCATACTGTGGTATTAAGTTTTTATAATTTATTGTTCGACCATCTAACCGTGGTGGTGTTCCTAAAAATTATATAAAAAACAAGTCTTAGATTATAAACTTTAATATAAACCACCTAAAAATTTATCACCTGTTTTTAGTCGACCGAGTTTAAACCCTGCCAATTCTAGAGTTTTAGAAAGTCCAAGTGAAGGAGCTTCTTGGTATCTTCCTGCAGGATACACTATTCTACCTAAATGTATTTTAAGGATTTTAGGATGGCTAACGATAAACGATAAACATAAAATTTTGATTATGATATAAATAATACCGATATGAATTTCACCCTGAAGAAAAGTTCCAGTTGTAAGAATAACTTTTGGTGCAAATATTATGTCTCCTGAATCTATTTAATCAAAATATTTAACTTTGATTTATATCAAATAATTACTATTTTTAAAAAAGAAAGCATAGTAATTACCCAATTTTATTCCTTTAACTTCTCCATGAATATGGTTTTGACTTCCTACTTCACTGAAAACTATTGGATTATGCGTCATCACAAGATCAAGGACACTTGCAGCCTTTATTGTAAGATTTGGATAACTGAATAAACATTCTTGCATGTGTTTTTTATATAGTTTTCTATCAATTTGAGCTCTTGGTCCCTATTAATTAAATTATGTTGTTTAGTTATACTCGAAATAATGAAAAGATTGATTCAGAATAGTAATAATCCATTACATGTACAGCTGGACCTTTTGAACGATTCAAGATATGAAATTGTATTCCAGAAAAATCTAAATTTTAATAAAGTCGATTAATTCTATTTCAAATATCTTTTATTATTCTGATCAATAAATAAATACAAAATCACCAGATATCTTTCCACATAGTCCGTCTAGAGCATCAATTTCTTTAATTAATATTCCTTTCCCAATCCCTCCAAATGATGGATTACAAGACATTTCTCCTGAATGCACAAATCAATTTAAATAAAAAATAATAATTAAAATCACAAAATGTTAAAAAGTCTACCAATGGTGTCAAGTCTTTGAGTAACAAGCAAAGTTTTAGCTCCAGTACGAGCAGCAGCAGCACACGCTTCTGAACCGGCGTGACCACCACCAACTACTATAACATCATATTTTGGATGATCCGGATTTCGTGCAGAAATTGTAACGAAATTTTTCGAAAATATGAAATTTTTTCGTATTGAATTTTTTACTAAAAATTTCGATAAATATATAATTTGATAAGGTTTTAATATTAACATTTCTCAAAAGATTATAAAATCGATGTTATTTTAAAATTATGCAGTTGATCTTCTGTGTTCTATTTTTATAGTCTATTAAGATAATCAATCTTTTCGAAATATTTGTTTTATGGTATCGCCAGTAAATAACTACTTCGATAGCCGAAATTAATCTATATAATACATCCTTAACAGTTAATATAAGTGAATTTTTGCTAATAAACTCTCGATCTGGTGAATTTTTTTATAATTTATCGTTATCAATACATATCGATATTTTTATGTTCCCGAAATAGGGGGGATCTACGTAATTGGCCAATAAAACCTATATATTTTATTAAAGTTAATCTTTTTTTAACGTTAACAAAAAAAAAAAAAAATGAGTGAATACGAAGAAATACAAATATCATCTTTAAATACTCTTTTACAAAAAACTATAAATGAACCAAATTATTCTTCAATATTAATAGAATCAAATGAATTTGAAGATATTTTGCGTAATATTTCATCTAAATCTCCAAAAATAAAACCTTTGTCATTATTAATTTTAACGAAATTATTTGAAAATGTACAAAAAAATAAAGATACCTTAGAATTATTTAAACATAATAATTCAAAATTTATTATTAAATGGTTAAATTCAACAAAAAAACAAGAAAAATTATATGGATATAATGCGCTTGAATCACTTTTTCAAATTTCTAGTGAAATTGGTTCTTTCATTTTATTAAAAGAAGGTATTTTAGAAGATATAATGGATTGTGTAGAATTTGAACCTGAAGAAGTTCAAGGTGCTATTACTGAAATAATATCAGTAGCTTGTTCGCAAAAAGAATGTAGAGCTTTAGTAGCAACACATTGTCAAAATTATTTAAAAAGTTTAATGTCTAGTAACAATCAAAAATTAAAAGCTTTAGCGGCTGTTGCATTGACAAAGATTTTGTTAGATGAAAAAGCATCTGAAGAACAACAAAATAATAATAAAATTTCTGTAATTGATGAAAATGAGACGCTTTTATCTGGTTTATTTCAGAATATGGTTTTAGATACTGATTCGGAAGCCACAGCTCGTATAGCTGCTATTGAAGGATTGGCTTACTCTAGTTTAAAACCTGCTGTGAAAGAAACAATCACATACCACCCAACTTTGTTAAAAGAGATATTCAAACTTGTGAAAGACTCTGAGAAGACGAATAATACATTATTTTATGGTGTGGCAGTAATCTTGGCTAATATTACAACATACAAGAAAAAAATGAGTGAATCCGAAGAACAATTTCTCAAATTAAAGAAAATGTCGGGAGAAACCTTAAAAATTGATTTAGATCCTATAGATGATGATGAATATGTGATTAATCGGACAAAACAAGTTATGAAATCTGGTGTCATTCTTCCTTTAATTACCATGTCAAAAAATTCTAGTCAAGCAATTCGGCAATTAGTTGCAAAAGTATTTCTTAATCTTGCAACTGATCAAAGCAATCGGGGTGCAATCGTTCAGCAAGGTGGTGTAAAAGCTTTGATCCCGTTAGCTACCAAGAATTCAAAAGAAGTTACTGAACCTGCAAGCCAAGCATTGGCAAAAATCGCCATTACAATGGACCCAAATTTGGCTTTCCGTGGAGAAAGGGCAGCAGATCTCGTACGACCTTTCCTTTCTTTATGTCAGGGAGGAAATGAACTTTGTCAATTTGAAGCTTTGATGGGTTTAACAAACTTGGGAAGTTTTGATAATGATATTAGAATGCGGATTTATGACACTAAAGGAATTCCAATTATAGAAAATTTACAATTTTCCGATAATAACATGATTCGTCGAGCTGCAACAGAGTGTTTATGTAACATGATGTTTTGTGAACCTGTTTACGATATGTACAGTGACCCTGAAACATCATCAAATAAGATTAAAATATTAGTTGCTCTTTCTGATGTTGACGATTTTGAAACTCGACGCGCAGCTAGTGGCACTTTGGCAATTTTATCTACAAGTCCAGATGTTTGTAAGATGATTGTTGATCGACCACGTGGAATAGAAATATTAAAAGAATTAATTTCTGAAAAATCGGTAGAAATGCAACATCGTAGCGCTGAATGTTTCAAAAATATTTCAAAAGTTAGCAAAGAGATGTGCCAACGATTGGTCGAAGAAAAAGTCCATGAAACTTTGAATTTATTGATTAAAAAGTGCAAGGCTGAACCTGTTGTAGCAATTGCTGTTGAGGCATTGCAAGAAATATCAAAATATGATAATTTACCAAATAAATAATTTAATAATAAATTTTGGTTATTTTTTGCATGTTAAATTTGAATTTATATTAGGAAGGTTTTTGGGGATGTAGGCTATTAGAGCAACAAATACAAGATAAATAGTTTTTATAATGCGCATATACATTACATGCACGTTTTTAGTAAAGCCAAAAAAATAGTCTTGGTAATCTATATAATAAAAACACATTTTTTAAGAGTAGCGTTATGAGATCTTGCTATGTAATGACCCTTGACACTATAATTTATATAGTGTCTGAGTTTCATAGCAAGGATCCAAGTTCAAAGAACAAAAATTTTAATAATCTATTGTTATGGCTGATTATAACGAATATTTATACAAGTCACTTTCTTTATAGTGAAGTGATTCGATCCATTAATAAAAATTTCTTAAAAACTCACTATATCGAGAGCTTTATTAGTAAATTCACTATATTGAGAGAACTTAATTTTACTATATCGAAATTTTAATTAATCTTCATTATATCGAGGGTTCACTATAACGAGAGTGACTTGTATACCACTTTCCGATTATAATTTTTATTATGATAATGGTGATTTGGGTAGAACATTAAATAAAATCGGTTCTTGGATAGATAGTAAAAATGATTTTAACTTAGCGAGTAACTCGGAGTAGCGTGATAAAAACTCTCATTTTATGGACTAGGCTCAAGAAATTCACGTCCGCTATTTTATTATATTTGTTTTAAGCAAATTTTATTT